CACAATCATCGTTTTATGTCCCTCGTACACGTCGGTGGACACGGATTCGACCATCAACCCTAAAAGATCCATATGTGGCCTCATTGCTGAAAACGACTTGATTCCAGTGTTTTGGCTGCAAACGCACGTGGTCCCCAGCCCATTGCAGACGTCGCTGTATATGACCTGCTGTTAACAGTGGTTTTCCTACTGGCCTTCGTGCAAAATAATCGGCTTGCAGTAATCTCTTGTTCACGACTGACCTTGAAACGGGCGTTTGAATGACATTCTGCCTCTCTTTTCTGAGGACACTGGTTGCCTTTGTACGACCAGCACGGCGTCCTATAAGGAGAAGGCGATCCTGTCTTCTTGGTGTGATACGCGGACACCCTGGTCGAGGTATTGGAGTAGGTGCCCCTGTTGCAGCATTTCCTTGGAGGACTTTACAAACGGTTCTTGATAAATGTTGAATTACCTGGCAATGGCTGTCCGTTTCTGGACATTTTCTCTGAGAGCAAAAGTCCCATATTAAGCTGCGTTGCTTAGCTGTCGAACCATATCTTCAATAAGGTACCTGTCAAGTTTCAGTGCGATCCCTTTGTTGCTTCTCTAAACACACTCCAAAGATTGACCAAACCCATGCGTTTTTATACAAGGGCAGAAATTGCCGAAAAGACCACCCCTCACATTTTTGACCACAGAACATGCAACTGCATGCATCAATTGTTTCGAGAGTTGTGTGGTAATTAGGTAACACACCTGGCTACTCAGGGAGTGACACCTCAGATTTGGATGTAAAGTAGTTAGAGAGAAAATAAATATTTTGTAGAAAATTTACTCGCCAAAAAATAATATTCCATATTAAGTGGTAACCCTGTATATTCGCTAGTTTCAGTTCTATACTCGTCTTAATTTTTTATACTTAAACCTTGACAGCACAGGTTTAAGTACGGTATGGGAAATCTTTCTTCAATCTGCAAAATGTATTTTCCCACAGGCTTTTTTTTTTTTTTTTTTTTTTGCAGTAAATCTTTTTGCGCCTTTGTGACACTTTATTTGCAGGCCTCAGTCTCTTTCTAAAACTTAGTGTTCAAACTTGTTTCATACGGCCCGCTGACCTTCATTGTCCCTTTAGTCAAATTTGCTGGACGAATTACAAGCGCTCTTTCTTGCAATTTATCAATATCGTTTGGGAGGATCTAAATTGAAATGTAAATGTAGTAATAACATAACAGCATTTACATGACTTCACTTTTAGTGCACAGTGTCGATGCATACTTTGGTGCATTATGTACATTATTTTTTTAACTGATGGGTACATATATTTGATTAAGAAACCATATCTTATACGCGTCCTTTACCCTATTTATACTAGAACATGTATTTGACCAAAAACAAATCAATATCTGAATTCAGGCAGGTTAACTTTTTAGCAATATCAATACAAATCAGGTTTGGGGTATTTTTAGATATATATGCATCTATACATGGTTGTTAGGAAATATTATCAACAGCTGGGTATCGGTAGTGGCCAGTATTGGAAACATTACTATTACGGTATTATAATAATATCTGCTTGGTTTTTAGGTTAAAACAGCGGTAAACTGGAGTTAGCAATAATCGACTAAATTAGAATATTTATGCCAATGCCTAATGCCAAGTNGGTATACCTAAATAATTCCTTATGATGTACATGATTTTTTAAAAGAATATTTAAAATTATTACTTTTCAAGAGCTAAAATATGCTATATTTTGGCAAAATTGCCAATAAAAGATCTGCCCCCATATCTCTAAAACTAATGATCCAAAATAAGAAAGCCAGTGGCTCACAATATCTTTTATGTTGATGGTTTACCACAACAAAAATTATTAAAATCTGCTGACCCCCACCTTGCCGCCTTCTGACTGATCTGTCTGGCTTTCTCATGGACACGCTCTTAACATACCACAATGTGTTTGCAAAGGTCAATATTGACTTTCACAAAGCTGAAAATCTTTTCCAGCAATCTCTTTTTTTAAAATGCACTAGAAACCTCAGGGCTTACGTATTAATCTCTGAAGTAGCCTCAATGCATTTACTGATAGCCACTGATACCAAAAGAAGTTTCATTATTAACTGCAGGACAGTTGAGTACAACTTGCGAGCGGAAACGATTTGAATGTATTCTATTGATCATTTTAACCACCCATGCTGCAATATACAGACCATCGAGCAATGGCTTTTTATAGAAATTGAAAATAAGGACTTTGCATGACCGTGTTCTAACCTTTCAAATAAATTGATGCACTGCTAACGAACTGTTCACTGCATCAGCACGCCTGAGAACCCTTATACCATATGGTAAATAACCCTTTTTACTGTTCTGCAGAAAACTGCTTATCTGTGACATACCTGCAGTTCCCAATGACTCTCTCCAACCCTGCATCAATAAAATGTTTCGTTCCCGAAAAAGTTCACTATCATTCTAACCAAAAATAGCCGAGCCTTCTGGGTATCCCCACCTTGTCTCATGTGAAGTTTGATTTATATGTCCACCTGTGTCGAAATAAATGCCGGTCACTGTACGTTCCACAACAAAGTGCCTCATTCGTTCAGGCTCGAGGCTGTTCTTTACGCAGACATTTACCTGTACCTCCTAACGCAGAAATAGCGCACCTGTGGTATAACTTCAACTTTAATGCAGCATGATGACTTGTTTGTTATTTAAAACAGCCATACAAATTGTGTTCTTCCTCTTTTGCTACCCTGATAAATTTATAAAACCAAGTACAATATTTAATGAAAACGTTATAAAGTAAACATATATGCACAAACGTGCATTCACATTTGTATGTCATTTGTTAAATTTTTATGTACATGAGGTTAACTGTTGGTGAAATACACTGATTGCCAATTCCAACTTTATTATTCATTTAACGCTTTCCTTAAATCCTGCATTCGGTCTGAATGGGAATAGTCCAAGATAGCGTAAAATGAGACTGTCAGCACAGCGTGACGTCATACGAGACCAGAAAACTTCAGTGGATAAATTCTGTTAGCTTTAATTTGTTCCCGGAAAGCAACGACTGCCATTGTTTCTGACCCCACTCTCTTCCAAATCGTGTCAAACCTCACTTGACTTAACGCTTAACCATGAGACTTGGGTCATTTTGGAAGATTCCCATTAAAATATAAAACTCTGTAAATGACCTTGCGCTTGATGCCGTTTTCACAGCATGGCACATATAGAACTGCCCAAACCCATTGCAAAATCAAGGGAAATCTTGATATGCAAACATTTACTTCCATTCATTATAACCTTGATACATATAGTACAGCTGTGTTCTCATTTCCTGTTCTAAGGAGATATAATGAGTGGTAAATAACCTAAAATTTTCATAGTTGTTTGCTGATTATCCTTTTTTGTTCCTGATTAATTGATTAAAACGAGATGCGCCCAACATTTTATGATGAATAAAATGCATATGACATTTGACGATGAATAGAAAATGCAGTTTTTAGCAACTACATGTGCATACAGTATATGTATACCTTTACACGTCGGCTTAAATATCCAGGGGGCAAATTCTTGGCATTAAGTACCGATACTGCACCGTAATTCAATGTTGGTTTAAGGACACTTATATTTGCAACAGTAAGATTGAACGTTATTCCACAAGTTAATGAAGTTGTAGTATATATTCGCTAGTTTCAGTTCTATACTCGTCTTAATTTTTTATACTTAAACCTTGACAGCACAGGTTTAAGTACGGTATGGGAAATCTTTCTTCAATCTGCAAAATGTATTTTCCCACAGGCTTTTTTTTTTTTTTGCAGTAAATCTTTTTGCGCCTTTGTGACACTTTATTTGCAGGCCTCAGTCTCTTTCTAAAACTTAGTGTTCAAACTTGTTTCATACGGCCCGCTGACCTTCATTGTCCCTTTAGTCAAATTTGCTGGACGAATTACAAGCGCTCTTTCTTGCAATTTATCAATATCGTTTGGGAGGATCTAAATTGAAATGTAAATGTAGTAATAACATAACAGCATTTACATGACTTCACTTTTAGTGCAGTGTCGATGCATACTTTGGTGCATTATGTACATTATTTTTTTAACTGATGGGTACATATATTTGATTAAGAAACCATATCTTATACGCGTCCTTTACCCTATTTATACTAGAACATGTATTTGACCAAAAACAAATCAATATCTGAATTCAGGCAGGTTAACTTTTTAGCAATATCAATACAAATCAGGTTTGGGGTATTTTTAGATATATATGCATCTATACATGGTTGTTAGGAAATATTATCAACGGCTGGGTATCGGTAGTGGCCAGTATTGGAAACATTACTATTACGGTATTATAATAATATCTGCTTGGTTTTTAGGTTAAAACAGCGGTAAACTGGAGTTAGCAATAATCGACTAAATTAGAATATTTATGCCAATGCCTAATGCCAAATTTAATTATTATAAATGCGTCCATTATAAACGGATTCTGTAGAGAGAAAACATTGCTCTTCGACTGAACACATTTTCTAGATTGACATTTGAACTTCTGTCCCCCAGATAGAAATGTAACTCGACCTGCCTTCATGATAAACTTCAGAATATTTTTTGTAAACTTTTTCAGTTTATGACTTCAAACATAATTCAGTTCAGTTCATTAGCATTTAGCAACACAACTTAAGCCTCTGTTGTGTTTTATCTTTTTTCATTCACTACTTTTTGAAAAGAAGGGTGGCATGAAACTTGTTTAATGTCAAACAATTTGCGCACACTCGTATTAGTTTCGCCTTTACCATCCATTGGTTGCTCATCAGTAGCATAGCCAAGAAAGAACATTTACTCCAGAAGTTTACATTCTTCATAACTAATACATTATTGATACCACTGTAGACCAAAATGATGTAGCATTCAAAAGCAAGCATGAAACGTTTTTTCCGAAGAAAAAATCTATAAATATATATCAAATTACACTAATCCCAACGGTTTTTTGTATTTACACTACTTATTGGACTCTGTCAACAGATAGCTGTAAAAGCATCCAGAACCACTGCGGTCCAGCTTTTATGAAGTGTTTTCCGCTGTCACTGAAGACCGCAAGATGTGATTAAAGAGTTGCGAAGATTGACAGGATTGACCATAAGGTACTGCATGTATATTTGTCACAAGGAACTCCTACAGGTATATCTGTCAAAGAACCAGAGAGAGAGAGAGAGAGAGAAAGAGAGAGAGAGAGAGAGAGAGAGAGGGGGGAAGGGAGGGAGAGATGCTGTACTGTATGTTAGCTCCATGCTGTGCAAATAATCTGTTATTGAGGTGTTAAATTTATTTAGGATATCATCGAATACAAATTAATTTTAATGATTTTCCATTAGCTGCCATACAAATCAGAACGGCCTTGAGAAAATAATGACCCAAATCGCACGTCAGAGTGACTTGCTGTCCTCCGCCAATGTAATTGGTTATCATCACATGGACTAAAAACGTAATTTATAAAATCGGGATAAGTTGTTGACGCAGTTCTTGCTAGCGTGAGACTTGAAGGGTTTTCCTGACCTCCATTATGCGAAGTGTTTTGAATGCTTAGCAGACACGAAGAGGATATTTGACATACAAGTTAGAATATCCTGTGTTTTGTATAAAGATTTCACCTTACGCATTTAAATACAAAACCATTTAGATCATTATGAAAGGATCAATACAATACAACTGTCATTTTGGACTATTAAAAATAATACGCATAAATGCTTAGCATTTTAAAAGAAAAATATTATTATAGGCGGGTCCTTAGTTAAAACAACACCACAGTTTAGGCCTAAAGGCGCATCAATAATCGGAATATTAAAAATCCATTTCTATCAGAATTTAACTATTCAATATGATAACGTGAAGGTCCAGCCGATGGAATTCGTATGTTTGAACAAATACTCAAATATTCAAGAAATAAACTATTTACTTTAAACATCATTCAGATGCTGACTGCTGGATGAAAGCCAAAGCATGGGTTCATATGGATCACCTTTTATCAACGATATTACACGTAACGAGAGAAGCGGATGACGCATTCCATGTAGGCCTACATGTTATGTGGAAGTCATGTAAAGTTCTTGTAAAGGGAATGTAGTTATGAGACACAACTTTTATTATTTTAGAAGAAAAGTGTGCGAACAAACCTATGAGACTTCAAAGAAACATTAGCATTGACTTATATGTTCTTGCCAAGACGTGACTTGGACTGATAAGATGCATCTCAAACAAAATATATTGTAGAATCATCAAACAGACTAACTGGCTAACAGGTAACTGGACCTAGTTCAAGAATATTATAAGAATAATACACACCAAATACTATATAGATACTATTTCCAAGAGATGGATCTGTTGCAAGACTGAAGTGGACAGCACACTGAAGAGTATCAGGAGGAAAAAGGTGAATAAGTTAACAGTAGGAGGAATTAGTACTAGTGTATTATGAAAGCTTAGTTTGGGACTTACACAGAAGCAATAGAGAATGTTTTTAAAATCCTAAAATCTTTCCTTTATAAGTATTTGCCCATACCGAAATATGAAACGGAACTGTATAAATTCAAAGGCTTTCAGGATGACAATGTCAACAAGTGTCGATCAAAGATACAGGTAGGAGGAATTAGTACTAGTGTGCTATGAAAGCTCAGCTTACACAGTAACAATAGATAATATGTTTTAAGTCCTAATTTTCCTCTTTTATAAGAAATAGTCCATATGAAACGGAACTGTAAAGCCAATTCTTGTCAGACGACAATGTGTACGACCGCCAAAACCGTTTTCATAACGTATATCTTAACTAAGTTGGAGAGCGTCTAATAGCATCTCCCCTCTTTGCATGTCCCATAGAATAATACGCATTTTCCCTTTTGAATCACGCATTAGCGAACAAAAGTGAGATGTTCACGTCATTTTGTGTTAGGTGTAACAAGCGAAATCCATTCCTCCAAACTACATATTGCAATTATATTTGCCCTTACATTAATAACATTTCTTGTGTCTCCACCGCCCTTCGCAAAATCATGGGTCCGCCAGTGGTCATATCATATTGCTTTCGCCTGTCGGAAGATAATCGTTTGTAGGTTCGAGGTAGCTCCAGACAAAAGCGACATAACCGAGACTATTTGGAACCCAGGTACATGCAAGCGCGATATTGTCTTTTTTTTTTTTTTTTTTTTACATTGCCCATCAGGAGAAATGCCATTTTGAAGTCCATGGAAAGTGGCAATGCCGCTTCCGTCCGTCTAGGAAATTGAAATCGACCGAAACGTGTGTTCATATAATTCTGAAAACCAGAATCAGTGACAAGCATGAGCAACAGCACTGAAAATGAAATAAGGATAAAAATTGAGAATCGCGTGTGAAGTAAACGAAAGGCACCCGTAGACTTCATTTTCGTTTTATTTGACAGTGGAAAATGCCTGCATGTCGTGATTGTTCAAGATGATGAGATTTGTTTAACCCAATCTGACAAACCACAGAGAAACCTAAAAACACGTACAAATGTAGGCCTATATCCAAGACAAAGCTACAAGGTTCCAGTGAATGCCATGTGCCATAAGATAATGAAACATCTTAATATTTTGAAGAGATCACAGTATTGTTTTAATTCTTATTACTAAATAGATGGTAGGCCTATAAAAAAGAAATGATTATGAACCCTTCTCTTTCTTTTAAGAATAGGCCTCCGTCAATGTATGAAACGAGAACTATGTAGGCTATGGATCATTTGGCAGTCATGTGTGACATGCTTGTCCTTGGAGTGGAAGTATGGGATAGACTATCATAATAGGTTAGAGTTAGTCGGAAGTAGGCCTATTGAGAGGCAGTATAGGCCTACAGGGCGAATGGCACATGCAGCAAGTAGCCTAATGGGAAATGGACTAAATTCAAATATTAGCCAACTACCTAACAGTAGTTTATAAGTTCGAGTAGACAAATCTGTGACTTATTTTGATGACAAAACAAAATCTTATATCTGGGTCTACTATCAAGCAAGATGTCCCGGGTTGCAGCCTCCATCTGCATTGGGATTGGGGTGGTGGTGGTGGTGGGTGGGGGGNTCTTCCACTTCTTATTTGCATTTTTCCTTTACAACAAGATTGTTTTGGAACAGTTGCAGCATTAAAAATTTAAATAAATAGCAATCTGAAAGAAGAATTTTGCATAATTATTAAATGATGATAGGAATTTTGGATTAAGAGATTAGTTAAATACTGAGTAGTGATATGGTCAGTCAATTTATGTAGAATCTGATAATATGATTGAAAACACTGATTGAATTCTTGGCCTTGCACTGGGCAGTTTTACATTTGTGCCAAGTGCTATTTTTGGACTCCATTGTACAGTGGTAAAAAATCTTCAATTGCCATGAAATTTTTTTATCAGACTCTGTATGTTACTGCTATCAGCTGGTGCTATCGGCAACGAATTAATCCCTTTGTTTCTGAGTGAATCTACCGTCTAAAATCACTATTACTGAAAATATTTGCGTTTTGCTGAGGGTAGTCTAGGCAATATACGGCAAACTTCTTAGTACGTGTGTTCAACAGAATTTTTTTAAAAACCCTAGCGATATTTGGTCAGGAGTTGCTTGAAGCATAGCACAGCGTTGCTGTCTATCTATTGCTGTCTAGTTTGTCAATTCTCACGAATTACCCACTAATCGCGAACCCATTCATTTTCCTATGGCAATCTAGCAACTCATTAAAAATGCACGCATGCGCAGTGGGCTAGGCGTGACGTCATACAGTGCATTTCTGGGGATGAGATGTCCCGGGTTGCAGCCTTCATCTGCATTGGGATTGGGGTGGGGTGGTGGTGGTGGTGGTGGTGGTGGTGGTGGGGGGGGGGGGGCAGTGCTATGGTTTAAAGACTACATGTATAAGCCTAGCCAGTGTAAGGCTAGTATCATAATTACCACTGCATGGATATCTATGCGTCGAACAAAAGATACAATTATTCCTAAAATCGCTAGCAAATCTAAGCATGTTAATTATAGGCCTACCAAAACCCCCACACACAAAAAAAAAACTAAATTACGTAACCAGAATCTTACCCACAACACTCGCACAAACGGTCCCTGAGGTGTGTTTCCAAAGGCAAAGGATCTGCAACAATTTGTTCATCTTTATAATGCTTGATAGTACCACACTTTTACAATAATATCACGCCATGGGCTTTACTGTTCCCTTTTTCACAGCAGACGATTCATCACATGCGTTTTCAAATCTCCTCTTCTTAAAGACTCGTACAAGAAAAGTCTATCAATTTAGCTGTATACATTGTTCAGTAACAGCATATGTTTTTATGTAGATGTATTCTGATGGACACTTAAAAAAACAACAGCATGCAAGATATTTGGGTTTAGAAAAGGTTGAGGTTGAACACAAGGTGTCTGATTTCCTATTTGACTTCTGTTTCTTGATGCATTTTTTATTTGTATTGTTTTTGTCTGTTGTGGTCAGATTTTCTTTCTTGTATTCTAACCTGGTCTCTCACTGTTTTGCAGAAGCACCTCTCGCATTTTGAAACCATCGGTTTAACTTTTTCAATATTGTTAATCATGGAAATGTGATAAACAGATAAATAAAGAAACAAAAACCCAATTAAGCATTAGAAATCTGTAGGGTAAATGGCCTCAAAACCCATAGACGTATTGGCTGTTTCATTTAATTTTGGAACAGTGAAACTAATCTTTGGAACGGTGAAACTTGAAACTCATGAGAATTTTTACTAGTAAACACTTGTAGGCCTAAACATCACTGTCAACAAGACATTCAATTTGTAGCCAGCATTCTTCTGGTATGAGATGCAGTATATGAAGGGCAACTTATCCACAGCATTATCAATATTTGCAACAAAGTTATAGGACCTACTAAAAGTGAATGTCCATGGCCCCAATAGCAGGTAATCCCTCCTCCTCATGCACGCTGGCATGTGATTGTGCAACCGCCGTAAATTATTAGTGCACTAGTCTTCATTCACAGGCACTGTGACATGTTGACTGCCAACGTACTGCTGAATTTTAATAATGTATAGCTACATGTATTTGGAAGTAATGCTCCACCACGGTGATTGATGAAACCACTGAATTTTGTTAACGTTCTTCTGGTGAAAGAGAGTTATCGATGTTACCACCTGAATCCTCCTTATTTCTGAGCTCCCGAGATGGCAACTCAACATATGTGGGAAAGATTATAAATACAAATTTATATGAGGAAGTCATCCAGCGCGGCAGTCTCTGGCCCCCAGACTGAAGGCGTTTCAGGGTTCAGAACAAGTCTTGCACTGACCAATCATTACCGGGGGGTTCTAATTAACAAGTCACGCGGTCTACGCCAAAGGGGAGGACAAATGAAGCCACATACCACAACAGATATGGCTAGAACAAAGGGCACACAATGAAGAAACGTGCGAGGTGAGAACAGAGAGAAAGACGTATTCCACGGTATTTCACTCTACCGGTGCAGCTGTGCAGAATGCCAGCATATATTTCAGTTATATTATATATCAGGTGATGCCAGATTAAAAAAAATGAAGCATGTGTCAAAAGTAAAACTTTTTAAAGAAAAGAATTCTAGCCCAACCTGGGAACTAGTGCAGTTGCTTTAAATGGTAGTAATGCGGAAATCTCTAGTGTGCAACATACTAGTTAGTAAAAAGGCGTGCTCAAATATTCTGAATACGTAATATTTATATCTTATCACCTTGGCATCCATATAGTATAGGGTTGCAGAAATCCAGCCTAGAAGTGACTGATGCCTGTAGCTAACAGCGGCAGCAGATGATTGATTCAGATAATTTCTTGTCGAGTCAATATTCCGAATGTTGAAGAAACAAGACTTTTTTCACAGACAGACAGAGTTAACTTTGAATTCATAATTGTTCTTGAGGGTTACATGTATGTAAAAGTCCATCAAGATAAGCAAAACATACATGTATTGTGCACCTTCGTGGACGTTTTGATATCTCTGCCTCTATCATTTTGCATTCATATATTTGTCCATCTGACAGCTTTGCTATCTTGCTAAGAAATTTTGGTAATTTTAAAGGGATTGTATCAATTTTCATTTCCATGATCCTGAATGTGAAATGCAATTGTTTTCTTTCATGTACATTCCTTGGTCTTTATAAAGAAGAATGTATTTTTCATATGATAAGCATTTACATTATTTTTATCAAGGTTGTGTATCTGGTATGTTAAAAAAAAATTCATGTCTAATTAGCAGACATATAGCAGTTTGTTTTTTATTTAAAGATTTAGGGGGTTATATAGCAAAATACAGACTTGATTGACATTTAATATGGAATATTCTTTCTAAATTATTTTTCTTTGATTTTTTAAAACTTTTACGACTTATAAATGAAAACAAGGGTTTAAATCTTCTTTTAATAACTTTTCAG